CCAAACCACTGTCCCTCCTCTGGACCTGTCCAAACCACTGTCCCTCCCCTGGACATGTCCAAACCACTGTCCCTCCCCTGGACATGTCCAAACCACTGTCCCTCCTCTGGACATGTCCAAACCACTGTCCCTCCTCTGGACATGTCCAAACCACTGTCCCTCCTCTGGCCATGTCCAAATCACTGTCCCTCCTATGGACATGTCCAAACCACTGTCCCTCCTCTGGCCATGTCCAAACCACTGTCCCTCCTATGGACATGTCCAAATCACTGTCCCTCCTATGGACATGTCCAAACCACTGTCCCTCCTTTGGACATGTCCAAACCACTGTCCCTCCTCTGGACATGTCCAAACCATCTCAGTGTGTCCTCTCTAACTTTATCTCCCAGTTGTTCAACCTGTGCTGTACCTCTGATGATCTCATTCCTGATCTTCTCCATCCTTGTCTCTCCTAAGGAGAACCTCAACATCTTCATTTCTGACACTTCCAGTTCTGTTTCCTGTCTTTTTGTCCATGTCTCTGTCTCCTGTCTTTTTGTCCATGTCTCTGTCTCCTGTCTTTTTGTCCATGTCTCTGTCTCCATATCATACCAAAGACCAAGAACATGTGTGTTAGGTTATTTTCTAAATGATTATATGTGTGAGATGTGTCCCTGTGATGGACTGGAGACATGTCCAGTGTGACACCCCCCCCCCCCCCCCTCATCCAGTGACTATCGGAGACAGACAGATGGAACCAAAAGAGGATCCATTTGGACTACAGGACCTGCTGCACCCTTAACCACTGCTGAACAGGTTGGACCACCATGCTGAGAGTCTGCAGGGTTGGGGACAGAGTTGGGGACAGAGTTGGGGACAGGGTTGGGGACAGAGTTGGGGGGGGACAGGGTTGGACGGTTCTTGGTAAACACATTCCTTCAGTCGTGGAGTTCTGGTGAAGCAGTTTAAAGACGTGAAGTTTTGTCTCCAGCGACAGGATTTTCAGTTTTTTGACGGTTCGTGTCTTTTTTTGTAAAAGGACTGAACTCAGAGACTTGAGAGGTCAAAGGTCATGAAGTCAGCGTTCCAAACCGCTGGGAGGTTCTGAAGCAGTGTTTGAGTAAGAACGTCTCTTTTTGTTGTTAATTTTAGATTTTTAATCATTACTGCCTAATGATGTGTGCGTGCGTGCGTGTGTGCGTGTGTGTGTGTGCATGTGTGTGTGTGTGTGCGTGTGTGTGTGTGCGTGTGTGTGTGAGTGACAGATCAGAGAAGCTAAACCCGGTGTGTCGCCGGAGACACACACACGTGTAGCATGTTTGTGATTGACAGCAGTGATTCTTGCCTGGAGGCACGTTTCTGTCTCACAAACCGTCTCTGACAGCTGACCGCTGCTGCACACACACACACACACACACACACACACACACACACACACACACAC